GAGAGAGAGAGAGAGAGAGAGAGAGAGAAGAAGAAAAGGATTAAACATTGATATTTACCGTTTAATTAATTAGCTTAAAAACTTGAGATCATTTTTCATGTCTGTATATGTTATACTGGTGTATATGTGTAATGTGTCTAAGTGCGAGCTCCACTTTCCTATTTGGAGCATGATATTGTGCAGATGATTTTACAAAGGATCGATTTGAAACTATATCTATATCATCGTTCGATGTTTTGGATAGGTTGGATGATTGAATAAAATCCTACGATGGCGCCGATTAATCGATTTTGTTCCAGCGTGATGTATGTGTCCAGTATGAGCATGTGTTATATATGACGATGATGATACAACAACAACAACAACAACAACGGGATACAAAAGTGTGATACAAAAGGAGAACGTGCAAAAAAATAAACGACAGATCGATTCTTCGATGCGAAAGTGATCTAGTTTTGTATAAAAAAAAAAAAAAAGGATCGTAATAGGCACGCACGTATTGTTACCATACATGTTTGCCATTTTGCATATGCCATGTGTTAAAAAAAATCATTTATCATGCCTAGGTATGGACTAGTTAAATATGATTACAATTGTCTACTAAAATACGAGTTAGTTAAAAAAAAAAAAAAAATGTACAATACGTTTCATTTCATTCTTTCTTAATCTTTTATTATTTGTTTATATCGTTTTTTCTCCTTTTGTCTTTTTTTTTTCATACTTTTACTCTCCATTCATTCCATCCTAAATCGTATAACGTATCAAAGTTTGTTTTGTTTCTCGGCTATTAAACGAACATGATCGATCGCTATCGGTTTTACGTGTGCTGTATTCTTAATCCAATTACCTCGATTGCGATCAGTGTTTCTCTAAACGCATGACACATCTCTTTCGATTAGTCGCTTCTCGTAATTCTTTTTTCATTTTTAACTTTGAACAACGTGTCGGATACTATACAGCGCTATATCTGCCGATCTTACGCTCTTTTTGTGTTCGCTCACAACGTTCTATCATGATTCGCGTAAAAGATCGATATAAAAAGGGAAGCCCCGATTAGAATTGAATCCTGTGATGAAACGTCTGTGTTGCGAACCCTTCATCGTTTATTCTTTCTCTTGCTCCTCCTTGCCCCCTCCCGTCTAATACGTTTATTATATTCTCCGAAAAAACGTGAAATAGAAAAATGGCAGTGCAAACGTGTTGTTTTCTTCTTATTCTTTTTCTTCTTGTTTTTTTTTTTTTTTTTTTTTCAGTAACAAGTATAACACATTTAGGACAATGACGATATAATAATTACGATAGAAATTTCCTCGTAATAACGGTTTGTCATTTTCCTTATTTGATCCCTTTATGAAATGTTAACTACCTGTTGCTTGTATGTTTTCCTTGTTCCCGTGATTCGATTCAGCTTCTTCACGTTGACGTTGCACGACACGTCACGCAACGGTGTCGCTAGGCTAAGCGATGCGCGCGCCATCTGAATCCCATTTGTTTCACTCGATCAGCCCGACGAGATTGCTCGATCGATTCTTGGCACGGTTCTTGGTCATCGATGGCTGGAACCGTACCTACTGACGATCACTCATCCAATGGCACCTCCCTCCTGATATGGGCCAGTTATCATGCATGGATGCATGGGAAAAAGTGTGGTCCAAGTCATTGTCGTATAAGTGGGCGATCTCATCATGAATTGAGAGCTAGGAACACTAGGTATATACGGGAGCGGAGTGGATTTCTCGCTGATCGTCGCGCTTGCTGGACTGGTTGGAGTCGATGGGGTGGACAGTGGTTGCGAATTAGTCGATGAATTCGTGGTGGTAGCGGTATTGGTGGTGGTAACGCCCAACTTGCGAAGTCGCATTTTCTCTTCCCATTCGTCCCAACCGTGTCTCGCCCGATTCAGATTACGATGTTGATAGAAGACCAGACTGATTCTGGTTGGATTGAGACGATTAGGCTTTTTGAGAGCTGTGGTGGCGTGCATTTCGTGTTTCGCGCACTCGAACAACACGCTACCATGGCTCAACGCGATGGCAACTCCACCCATCTGCGAATCTTTGAAGCACTCTTCGTTGTCGGAATAATCGGCCACTTCTCCGAGTGGTTCCGCCTTTGGCGGAGGTTCTGGTAACACCGGGAAATAAGATGGTGGTCCGTAAATATCCCATCGAGGAGTGTCCCACCTTGCCCAGCCAGGATTCAGACTTTGATACGGAGGCACCTCTTGATAGGGATATTGGGGCGAAGGGAAGCAGGTTTCTCTCTTTGGCTGTTGATACAATTGAGGTGGATATTCTGATGTTTGGGGATGGGGATAAGGTTGGTGGTAATTGTAGCCCTCCCAAGAGTTGGAATAAGGTTTGTCGAAGACAGGATACGTTGGATATAGTCCATATTGGGGAAAGGAAGCGTGAGGATGTCCCAAGCCTGGCATTCCGTGGAAGTCTTGAACCTGCTTCATCTCCTCGGCCCATGGGAAGCAATTCGAGTTTGGATTCGCCATGTTTTGCCTAGGATCGTGGAAATTCTCTCTTGTCTTGTCCTCCGTCCACTCTGACCTTCGTATCTGGTTATTCTGATGCATCGTTCCGTTATTTTGTATTGCATTGTTGCTCGGACTGTCCGCGTAGACACCGTTTCGTATCGGCTCCTGAGGCTTGAGAAACGTTCTATTGGAAGAATTTTGATATGTACTGTCCGTGTTTGGATTCTGGCCTGCGGCTGTCCTTGATGGCGGTCTACCCTTTGGCACTCTAAATGGAGAGGGATCAGAGGGTGTTTCCCAACAAGGTGGTTTCGATTGATCCGGATGTGGTACCCTGTCGTTCCAATTGAATGTTTTTTGATGATCTATGGATTGTTGGTGATTCCTTTCGGAATTGATTTGATCGTTGTAGACTTGTTGTTGATCGTAGGATTTGTTTTGATCAGGATACCAGGAACCAAGCATGTTCCAACCACCCACTTGATCGGAAGGTGCTGGTGACATCTGATTTATCCCTGGTGTCTTCTGTTCGTGATTCTTATACATACGATATTTTCTTTGATCTATCGAACCTAAATTTTGAGTACCGTTTGGTGGATTGCTCGAAGGAAGATGAGACGAGGTGTGTAGTAACAAGTCCGAATTCGTCGTACCGAATTCCTTATGACTAGTATTGCTCATGCAAGAGGATACCGATAAGCTGGAAAACATGTCCATATTTGTCTCATGGTGCCCCTGGTACGGAAGATTTCTACTCGATTGTACATGGTGAGAGGGATGATAATGGCCTTGTATTCTGTTCATGAACGGTTGCTCGATTTGTGATTTCTGAACCTCTAAGTAATTCTGCGTAGTGGGGTACTTTTGTTGACTAGAATCCTGTGCAGGTTTGGAGTATGATAATTTCGATTGATCGCAGCTTCCTCCAACGTTTCGTACATTATTGTGCAATTGATGATGATTAGTTCGATTGAGTGCGCTCCTTTGATCTAAATGAGTTGGAAAATTTATACAATTTGTTTTTGGAGATGCGCTACTCTGTCTGCTGTCGTACATGTTCGGATAACTTCTGGAAGTGGGAAGTGGATGACTGTAACCTGTGTCTGGATACCCAGAACTTCTTGGCGAGGCGTTTTTCTGATCCTGAAGGGTAGGTGGACATCCTCTAGGAGACATCGAATAACCGATATCTCCTGGTGTTCCCGTATGAGTGCTCCTTGGTGAAATTGGATGAGCTCTTGGTGAGTGTGAATAATAATTTCTTGGCGAGTCCATTGTGGAATTGGGCAAATTTCGCGATCCTGGTCGATGCTCATCTTGAGAAACGGTACTTCTAGGTCTGATGTCGTCCAAGCTCGTGCTATCTGGATCAACTTTTGCATCCCTGTCGAGACCACCAAACGAATACTCTCTCCACGGATTCAACCAATTATTTTTTCGCTGATCGAGCCAACCGTTTCTACTCCATTGCTGTTCGTTTTGATAACCCCATCCTTGAGGATACATGGACACTGGGCTATCTAAAACGGTGGAGGACACTTGAGAGCTTTGTAATTGGGCGTCCATTCCTTCGAACATGGACGCCATTTCCAAGGATAGTTGGGTGTCCCTCATTTGCGGTCTGATTAACTCTTGGTGTCCTGGTATTTGGCGTCCTGACTCTATCTTTTCATTAACATTTTTGGAACTGTCCTTTTTGCTGCTAATAGTGTCCGGTTCGTCTTCCTTCCTTTTCTTACCGTGCCTTCGACAGGGTTGCAATGGAACCGATCGAACTCTCACTTCGCAGGGATATCTGCGAAACGTATGACGTATATATATTATTGCAGCTCATAAAGTGAAACTACTACGGATAAAAAAAAAAAGTCTTTTACTTTGTCAAAACTTCTACAGCTCCGGCGCGAACCTTCTCATCCTGTCCCTCCTTTGACCCATATTCATCCGTAGTATCCATGATATAAAGAGGAAGTACGTGTAATTGTTCGTCTTCAGGTTTCGATAAGGTTCGATGTTTTGTCATAGTGACTACCTACGAGACGCATAGAGATAGTGCCTTATCTCTCTATTATTGATTGAAAGTAGTAGTCAAGACTTTATAAGTATAACTTACCACGGTGCATCCGTTGTTCATATTGTGAAGATCGCGATGAGAATGCGCACAAAAATCTATACACGCTGTAACACCGGAAAATGGTCGGCCGGGCTTAAATCCTAAACGACATTCGCTCGCTTCCCGCTCGAATTGTGTTTGATTGTTGAACGCTTCTGGTGCAAGGCTTAGGTACAAGGGTGATAAAAGTGTTGCTAGGACGTGCATTCTTTCTTCTACTTCTTGCTCCTAGAAGTGGGAAAAGGAACAACTTAAGATTAACGGAATAGAAAATGAATATAGGGGGTGAAATAAGAAAAATAACAAAATAACAGAAAATAAAGTTAATTAAACGAAGATTATCTCACCTCTGATCTTACTGACAATCGAAATTTTCGGACGGTTTTGCTTCTGGCGTATTTGCAACCATTATAATACATGGACCAGGAACATCCAAAGGAAAAGCTTGCACCGCAAGTTTCAGGATCGAGACCCTGGCAGGCACAGGTTCTCGGCTCGTTCGTTCCACATCGTCTGGTCGTGGGAAGACCGAATCGATTCAGCTTGTGACTCAATAAGGAATATATCCGATCGGCCTCGTGCGTGGGCACACCTTCCCAGGCGACCATGGCAACGACGATCCAGGCTGTTGGACATTTGTGTCCTTGCCGGTGTTTCACTATGGTCAGGATCTTCTCTTCCAGACCAGATCGTCGAAGTATCTAGCGAATCACTGATATTACAATCCCATCACCAAAGCAGTACAGAGATATCTTAACGGACGATTCAAAGCGATCGACTGCAACGTTTGGATAAAATAAAATTTAAAAAAAAATATATATATATATAATGATTCGCTTTGATTTTAATCTAAGAAAAGAATAATAAGAATAATAAGAATAAGAAGGATATAAATGGTTCATGAAAATATTCGAACATAATTTTATAATGAAATTTAGTTAATTCGAAAATTCTGATTTTATTGAAAACTTGTTATTAATATTTTTTCAATTTTATCTTTCTTTACAACAGCTTGACAGAGAATTAAATTCATTTTTATTAGACACCATTGGAAAATTATAATTTAAAGAAACGAAAAATTCATTGAAACTCTGATTTCATCTCTTTAAAATCTAGGTAAGAAAGAAATTGTTCCATGTATAATTCATCTCTGTGCAATCACGAAATTGTTCATCAACATTTTCAATCAAAAGATAAAAAAATATTCGAATATTTTCTTGAATCATTAGAGATATTGTAACATGCTTACCCACTTAGCCATCGGACATCCCTGAGTAGTTTTGCCCTCCTTTCCGGTGTAGATGACCTTTTCGAATCTAATGGCGTTTCCCTTAAGGCCGGTTCTTCTTTCAAGATCGTTCCGTAGGTCAGGCAGGCTTGCAGCCGCCCCGAGATGAGTGTAGTACGAACCGGGCTCTGGCGGACCTTGTGGTTGAACCTCATTTTACTTACGAAACTGGACGTTTCAACGGAAAGGAAGCAACAGAAGCGGAAACATTTATGCCACGTATGTAGTAGGTATGCCCCCTGGGAAAGGGGGGTAAGTTAGGTACGTGCATTCTTCTTTGGGTCACTGAATCAAGGCTTGGTGTATTTTTGTTGGCCGATAATATTAGTAGTAGTGATACTAGTAGTAGTAATAGTAGTAGTAGTAGTAGTAGTAATAGTAGTAATAGTAGTAGTAGTAATAGTAGTAGTAATATAATTTATTTTTCTTTAAGAGAATTATTCTTTACTTTTCGTGTGAACCCGTGACAATCGTGGTTAGTGTGTTCTCTCGATGTTAGTGTCGTGCTGAATACACAATAGCAACTCACATTTGTCGGCTGGAAAGCAGTTGCAGTCCGGTACTTCGCTCCTCACATTATTCTTCAGTTTCTCCAAATGATCTTGCAATTTTGTTGTCGATGGAGCACCACCGTTACGGGGGCTCTGTGGACCTTCGTTCTTTACGTCGGACTTGTCTGCCGCGTCGGCCAATATCTCGTCCCTTGTTTGCAAGCCCTGGCAACAACCCTCCCGCAAGTGTTCGGGGGTCGGTTGCTCGGTACCGCCTCTTCGACAACACCATGAACCAACACCCGGCGACACTTTGGCGGGCCCGCCATCCCCTCGAAACTTGTAATTATTGCCTTCCTGCGATTTTTGATCCGGCTCGCTCTTGATCGCCTTTGAAGGGCAATCATCGTTCCTCGATGTAGCTGTTGAGGATGGGACGCAGTCAGAACTGGAGCACCCGTACTCCCCGACGTTCTCTTGCTTAATACTCTGAGAGGAGTCGCAATTAGTATTGTTCTCCAGCTCGGTAGACGCTACTTTTTCGCTACTCTCTGGATAATTAGTGGTATCGTTCTCGTTCATCAATGCGACTCGAGGCGTTTCTGGAAAAGTAACATCGTTCTCCGTCTCGTTCTTCTCGATGTTCGCGCTGTTGCTACACGGTTCGAACGTTCTTTCGTGAATCTGCTGATCTATGCATAATCTTCTCTGAAATGATTTATCATCGGTGCACTGATTGTCGTGGCTCCTATTTTCTTCCTTCCATAATTGTCGATGCTCGTGTTCCTGTTGCGATTGTTGATGATAGAGTGATGATTGTTGTTGTTGTTGCTGTTGATGCTGCTGCTGCTGCTGCTCGTGTTGCTGATGTTTCTCCAGCACGGTTTTGTCTTCTGAACCAAATTTCATAAAACTCTCTATAACCGTCATCCCGTTGTCCGGTAACACGGTACCGTTGCTCAACGCGTTGTTACCTCCCCCTGACCATTCCCATAAGCCACCACCGTCGGGCAAACTATCGACCCGAGGGTGGTGGCTATGCAATAAAAAATTACCGGTCAGAGATTCGTTGGATTGCGCCATTGAGATCATGTTCGACTGATTCAAATACTGATCCGTCTGTTTCTCTTGCAATTTGTCCGTACTATCATGCGTGTCTCGTATCCGATCTTCCGTGTGATACTCGCCGTTAGACCCACTATTGCTGTTCACGTGCTGAGACTGCATTTGATGATGCATGCCGTGGTGTTGCTGTTGTTCTTGATGGCCTATTTGATGTTGAGACTGCTGTTGCGATTGCTGCTGCTGTTGAAGCTGTTGATGCTGATGCTGCAACTGTTGCTGCTGTTGCTGTTGCTGTTGTTGTTGCTGCTTGTTCAGGATCATGGATTTCAGTCGGCTATTCAAATTCACGCGATTCGATTGAGCAAATACGTTACTCTCCTGAGCATCTTGATTATCCGAGAATCCGTTCGGTTTCCCGGCGTCTGTCGCTTGTTGCTGCCAAAGCACTCTTTCTCCGGAATTCTGCATATCCTGTTTCGTGGTTTGTTGGCCCCAAGTAGGTTGATTCTCGATCACCGAGTTCGGCGACCAGGATATCTGATTCTCCATTTTGCTCTCTTGCGTCGGTGGTTGAGGTTGCCACGAGCCCGGTTGATGGCCAGGCGTTCTCCTCGGACTAGGCTGTGAATCTGGCCATTGTTGTTGGGGTTGCTGACTACTATCGCTCTTTATACTATTCGGGGACCAATTCGGTTGACTAGTTGGCGTGTCTGGCCAGGACATCTGATTAGACGGAGTAAGTCTGGGATTCTTCTCGAGCTTCGTCTGTTGCGACCATTGTTGTTGCTGTTGTTGTTGTTGTTGTTGTTGCTGCTGCTGTTGCTGCTGCTGTTGTTGCTGCTGCTGGGACTGCGCTCCGGGCTGTGACATTTGTTGGCCAGACGGTGTCAGCCTTGGATTCTGTTGGCTCGAGTTTTGTTGCATCTCTGGGCTACTTTGCTGCCAATTGTGTTGACCGGAGGGCGTCATCCGGGCGTTCTGGTGAGACGGATTCTGCTGATGATCCGACAACTTGGGCGAATGCTGTAGCCAGCCTTGGTGCTGGTGCTGTTGTTGTTGACTAGATGGTGTCAATCTTGGATTCTGCGCGTCCCTCAGCTTTGGACTCTGTCGCGACCAATTTCCCTGAGTTTGTTGCTGCTGACTATTGTCCGTATTGTCTGTCCACGATTGTGGAGTATGCGGGGTTTCTTTCACGCTACCATTTTCCCAGCTCATATGACTAGCTGGCCGAGGTAGCTCTTGCTGTCCCTGCATCTGCATACTTTGCTGTGACTCTTGCCCCTTCATGCTGTTAGCCTGCATACTCGGTGGTTGTTGTTGTTGTTGTTGTTGTTGCTGCTGTTGCTGCTGCTGCTGCGAAGGGGGTTTCTGTTGTTGCTGATGCTGTTGCAACGTTCCATCCGACCAGTTCATATTGCTGTTCATCTTCGTACTGGTGTCGGACCATAAATGGCGTTGGCCGTCAGGTACCGAATGCTGCCGTTGCAAGTGCTGTTGCTGATGTTGTTGCTGGGCAACTTGCTGCGGCTGCCACTGGTTCTGTACTTGTTGCTGACCCATTTCCACGTAGCCTGGATATCCGTTAGAGTTGTGTAAACTCTGTGGGCCCGGTTGAAGTGGATACCCAGGCATCTCGTTTCCCGACACGTTACTGGCCGTGATCGTCGCGAATCCCTTCACCTGCGTATCTGTCGGCGGTTGTTGCGGTTGCGACTGTGGTTGCTGGGAGGCCTGCTGTTGTTGCTGGTTGTCCATGTGTACGGAACTGCTACGACTCGTGGGAGTGGTTGAAGGCGGCGGTGCCATCGTCACGTCCTGGAAAAACGCATCATTCCATCTATAACTTAAAAATCGTGGAAGATGTAAATTATTATTGATTATTGGAATGTTTTAAGCTTTGAAATATTTTAAATCATAAAAATAAATCAATCTACTATTTATTTAATGTATTTCATTGACAAATATTTATTATGTTTTTTTGATAAAAATTGTGTGTTAAAAATTTATATTATAGGTATATATAGGTATGTATAATATTAAAATAATATTAATTAATATTAATAATAATTTAATAATATTAATATTAATTATTATAATATTAAAAATTTATAGGTATATATAGATATGTATAATATTATCATTTAACCATAAATAATTATTTTGTAGTTTGATATTTTTTTTTGTTTACTGACATATATCTTCACTCATTTATTTTAATATAGCAAATATTTTTTTCGAAAAAATTGTCTTACATCTAAGCGCTACAATTACTTAATCTACATCGATTTCTAAGCTGTAACAAAAGTCGAATAAATCTGTGATGAGATAAAGTATCTTTATAAAAAGAAATTTATTATAAAGAGTGATCTTACAAAGTGATTTAATAAAAATACATAATCAATATTTCATTTATTCAAGATATAGTATATTATGTTAACAGGATAGATAGATGATCATTACGAGTGGATATACATTTTTCTATCTTCCTTGACTTTTGGTATTATCTGAAATTCAATATACCGTCGGTCGTATTAGGGAAGGTAGGCGAACGAAAACACTTTCAATTAAAAGCGATTCATTTCGAATTGTACCTGTTGTTGGTAACCATTGACGTAATCCTGCCTTTCATAACCAACTGATTGGGTTGCAGTAGCAGCAGGATCCATGAATTGACCGTTTAGTGGCCTCTGAGTTGTCGATGGTACGGTTTGCGGGGCGACTGGTGGTAAGGGCGAGGGTTGCCCCGTGATTGTGTATTGTCCCGTCGCCCCGGCACGTTGAAATGCCGACTGATCCGTAGTAATGAAAGTCTGTTGTTGATATGCGACTGTAATCAGAAAATTTGCGTGCTGATTCCGCAGAAATGGATGGTTAATCCGCGGGACAAAGGGCGGTTGCGCACCTCGCATTCCACGATCGTTTCATTTTCGCGAGAAATTCTGAATCGTCGGTTTTTTTTCTTTTTCTTTCTTTTTTTTTCTTTCTCTTCTTTTCACACACACACACACATGCGGTTGAGACAGATATTATTATTTTCATCGAGATATCTTTCTTTGAAATTTTAAAATTAGCATCGAGAGTAGGGAATATCTTACGTCCTATGACGTATATATTTTATAATAATCGCGAAATATAAATATCCTATCGATCGATATATTAAAAAAAAAAAAAATAGGTTGGCAGTTAGTCGAATAAATATATATCTTCCGTTTTTAATGAAATACGTGAGAGTGAAAGAATGATTGGAGGAAAGGACGAATATCGAGCGAGAAGATTCGTGAATTTGTCGAAATCCAATCGTTCTTCAATTACCTGGTTGTGGATGGTACGGCGCGGCGGCGGAATATTGGGTATGATACCTCAGCTCTTCGAGCTGATTCGGAGCCGGAATTTGTTGAATGAACTGCTGAGGTGGCCATGGAGCTGCTGACGTTTCAACCGCAACTGCCCCCACGGGAGCAACTCCCTGGTGCCAAACAGTATTCCCAAAGCCAGCTGCTGGTCGGAAGCCGGCGCCAGAATCACCGTAGAATGGCATCACTCCGGGTGACTGTAACAACACGAAACGTAACTTTAGTTTCACCTTGGATCGGCCTCTTCACATACATTTTTAATATCTTACATGATTTATATTTTATAAATTTTCTGGAAAGAAAATATACACTTATAAAAGGATATTGAATAAAAATTTGAGATATCTTTGGAAACACTATTTGGAATTATTTTGTAATATTTTTTAATATTATTTTTACATTTATATAAATAAAGTATTTCAATTATAAATATAATATATATATATATCGACGAGGATTAAATTGGATTAAATTAAATAAATGGCTCGTGATTCATTCTTCTAGGAATATTATTATAATTCATATTTTTTTTTTTATTAGAGTTTGATTTAAAAGGCGTAAAAAAAAATGAATAAATTGTGTCTTGATCATTTATATATATACATATTTATGCAGAAAAAAATAAAAATTTACATTCATAATAACTCTATTTTCTAGAAAATATTTAAAAATCCTGAATATTTCTAATGGACGATGATTCTTATAAAAATTCATTATATACACATTGTTGAAATCAATATTAATTATAGCATTAAATATATATAATATAAAAATAAAAAGAATAATTCGTTTGTAAAAAATGAAAATCATTTTTTTTTTTTTACTTAATATTATAGAACTATGAAACTGGTGAATTGATTGATTTCAAATTTTTTTTATTTGCAATTATCTATTAAAAATTATCTATTAAAAATTCTTACAAATTTAATATATTGATTTTTTTCAGAAATATAATTGTAATTTTCATAATTCTACTTCGGTATACATATATCTAAGATAAATCGATAATTCAACATTCTCGATAAAAATAACAAAAAGAAAAATAGAAAATTTATTATGTAAGTTAAAAAGAATTACAAAAGTCAGAGGGGTTGATATCCACTGTTGGATATCACATAGTGGAAGAATAACCATTCATCCAGCGATGGTTCCTTAACTATTCGCGATGCAGTGATTCTCAACTATTTCTCAACAAGCAACTATCACTAGAGATTACACACGATTCTGATGAACTATTCAACGCTCACCACGAAAGTAAATGCAATTTGTACACGTTCCACGACCCAATTAAATAAAGATCTCGAGGCAAAGCGATAATAAAGCCATTAATCATCCGTTGTGAGGTGGTTGTTCGCGTGGTCCGCGGCCACCATCGCGGTCTACCATTATTTCCTGCATGCCTTCGCGCGGTCTCATGGTCAAAAGTCGCTTCTCGACCTCCCGCTGCTCGTAAAGCTATCAATCTCGCGAACAAAGAGAGCCATCTAGTCGCGTGACTCGACTCCAACCCCTTTCCGTTTCGACGTGTTTCCGCGTGTCCGTTGGATGCGCTACGTGGGGAGATCAACGTGGAAACGAAATCAAACCTCGTGGAACGCGGGGAATTTCGGGGGGAATTTGTCGATTGTTGAACCGGATCGAGAAAATGCGATGCTTTCTATGGCTATGATAAACGATCGTGGACAGCCTTCTTCCTCCTCCGTGTGCATACGGGCATTTCATGGTGGAAGATTTGTGAGAGAGTACAATGGAAACGCGTACATATATACGAGCAACTATACCTGCACGATGTAAGTACTTTCGTTTATTTTCGTTCGTGTCCAGTCAGTAATGGCTTCGAGAAGCTTTCAGTGAAACACGTTTATCTTAATTTTTTAACCGATGTTGCAATTTCCATACATAAGTGTATCTTATATAATCCGTTTAAATCGAATAATATTCAAATGTAGAATGATATTGGTGATATTGAAAAATGTTGGACGACATTTCGAAAGAGAATGTATAATGTATTGTAACTTTTTCATAAGACATTTAGAAAATATTTTAATTATTTGGATTTTATATAAAAATTTCATTATATAATAAAAATATCATTAAATTCTTTTACATAAAGAATAAATTGCATCGATTATTAAAATATGTATAATAGTTCTAAGAAAAGGAAGTTGACCTTCATATGTTTTTCATATGTCCAATTAAGAAAAGCTTACATCATACATCATCGCGCTAACTTTTGTCTGAAACATTTTTCAATCGATAAATGAGATATTCGAGATTATATCGATTTAGATGAATCATTCCGTATCAATCATTGTCAGAAATTGAATTCCTAACGAAATCTCTATTATCTCGATCCATCTCAAGAGTTGAATTCTCTTGTTTTCCGATATTGACCATCGAAGTTACTCAAATCTTTCCCGAGTTTTTCAAGTTTTTGATTTAAAATTTACTCAGCCTTTAATCTTGCTCGAGTTCCGTATTGCGGCCATCGCTACAGCCTTTTACCCAGAGAGGGAGGCAGAGAGAGAGAGAGAGAGAGAGAGAGAGAGAGAGAGAGAGAGAGAGAGAGAGAGAGATTTAGCGATCGTGTGTGCGGTTCGCAAGCGAGATGGTCTCACCAAGCGAAGAAATAGATGGACGAGGACGGGAAAAGTTGATTGGAAGGGAACGAGGAACTCGAGGAGGAAAAGAGAGAATGCCGATTGAACGAGAGAGGAGCATCGGCGCAAATAGATTGTGGAAAAAAGACAGAGAAGGTACTAAAAAGGAGGAGAGAAAAGAACTGGCAAACTCGCAACCGGACTATAAAACTTCGTACAAAACGAAGGCAAACGAACGATCAGCTTACTCGTCCGTACACCACCGACGAGCTTTGTCATTCTATTTCACTTTCTCCCTCTCGTTTCCCGCCGATCGATTTTGCAAAGAGCCGTGCAGCGCGCTCGCAGAACACGCTCGTTTAAATAAAAGATGTCTCCTCGCGGA